CCACACCCATCGTCCCGTGTTTTCTCATTCATGAAGTAACTCCTACTTCTCTGGGTTGTTGGGAAGTCATCGTCTCCATTTGATGCAGTGTTAGGGGGTCCTGTCAGACTAGGTTTGTTTGGGCAAAGCAAGGACACGTATGCACAGCTATATATTTTTTTAAGTAAGGAAAACTGATTTTGAAGATACCGATGCCTATGCTGATGAATTATTATGCTACACAGTGCCAGCTTCAAACAGAGGCTGATTTAGGGATTATTCATTCTCCCTGAAATTGTGGTGATTACCGGTGCCAGCCTGTAGCTCTAATCTGTAGGGTGGGGGTCCAGGGTCAAAGGAGACCTTACTGGCTTCACTTTACATTACAGATTATGTTCTGTAACTTCCATCTGCTTCCAGACCATTTAGTTTACCCCTAGACTTCATGGGCTGACATAGGTTAAAAAAGAAAGAAAACTTCATAGCAAAAATCTTTGATTGATAATCCTACTCCAAAGAAACAACCCTAAAGAATGTTCTACGTCCACAGAAACGTCACGTGAAATAATCACCACCACAACCAGTCTGGAAGACTGGATCTCTAACATTTGGAACATAATTAAGCAAATTCTCTAACCAACAGAATTCAAACGATAATGATGAAGCCTATGTAACAATGTGGGAACATGTCTGATTGAAAGAAAGCACAAACGTCCACTGTGGTCATAACCATGTAAGTTTCCAGAAGGAAATCCTGACGCATGGCTACAGCATGGATGGACCTGAGGACATCATGTTAAGCGAAGTGAGCCAGTTACGCAAAAATGCTGTGTGATTCTACTTATATGAGGTACTTAAAATAGTTAGAATCCTAGAGACAGAAAGGGTGGCTGCCAGGGGCTGGGAAGAGGGGAGAGTAGGGAGTTCTCTCATGGGTCTAGAGTTTCAGTGTTCTAAGAAGAGAATTCTAGAGATGGATGGTGGTGATTATTGTGCAACATGACAAATATATTTAATGCCACTGAACCGTTCACTTAAAAATAGTTAAGATGGTGGGGCGCCTGGGTGGCTCGGTTGAGCGTCCAACTTTGGCTCAGGTCATGATCTCACAGCTTGTGGGTTCGAGCCCCGTGTTGGGCTCTGTGCTGACGGCTCAGAGCCTGGAGCCTGCTTCGGATTCTGTGTCTCCCTCTCTCTCTGCCCCTCCCCCCCCCCCTTGCTCTGTCTCAAAAATAA